TGCTTGGGACGGGTAGAAAAAGCTCGATTCAGTTTGATGTTTGTATTTCGTGTTTCGCTTCAAATTACGTATTCATGTATGATGATGGTGATAGAGATGAAGAGAATGCATTCTCTTCCAAATATCATCATGTTAATCTTAAATGTTGATTTAGAATAGGTCAATATGCGGGGCGTTTGGCATCTTTGATTCTAGGATTAAATGACTTTTCAGATACAAAATGTACTAGTATTAGATTTACAAGTAAGGAGCGCCACCTACCGGTTCGCATTGTGCATGTTCCATGCGAAGCGCGCACCTCAGGCATTCCTCAGGACCTAGCGGTCCTTTCTGCTGTAGGAGACAAGTCAAAACTAACATTAGACAGCAAAGTGTAGACCTTGGCATCTAAAACAACAAACAGAATGTATGATATTCTGTGCTTTTTAAGGGCTTACTCCTTTATAATATGAAAGAAACAAAAGACTGAGTAAAATCTTACTTTTTGAGCGTTTTCCTCCTCTTCCGTCTTCTGCTCCAGACTGAAGCGTCTCCGCTTGGTCCGTTTGAGCTCCTTGGTGTGTCGGGTCGCCTCGGCAGTGAAGGTGATGTACCGCATCTTCTCACGTTTGGGCTGAACAAACAAACACAAACAAACACTGTCACCCATGGGAGAAATAATCTGACAGGAAAAGCTATCTGTCACCACAAAGTCAAGACCATAGCATGTTCAGGACAGAAGATACACAAACCGGACGTTCTGCTGCAGTACCAAGGTCAGCCAACTAGAGGTTATGTTGACCACAAAGTTGCGGAAACACACACAGACAGACAGACAGACACGCAATACCTCCATTTTTATGGAGGTAATAAAATTGTTACCAATTTTGGACGTTTGTACATGTTTACTGTAGGTGATTCATTGCTTTCTAGCACAATTAAAATGTGTTTGTTTTGACTGGAACGTGTGAACTATTCATCACAAATCGTTCAGAAAAATTCAAATTAATCAGACTACTGACAAGAATATTGAATAAGCAGGTCATACATGACATCAAATAAGTAGTATCATAGTATTATATCTTCACCGGGGTTATACAAGACCACAGGAAATATTGCATGCACAAGTTTTAAGACCCCCACAGCCAAAGAATAACTATGTATGAGCGCAACAATAAAGGTACTTCTGCATGAGAACAGTAGGCCTGCACGGCTACCAATACTGTATGGAAACAATATAACCAAGATTTATGACCACAGCGCAATATACTGGAATAAAGGTCCACTCTAACTCAAATACACCTAAGCCTTTACACACTTTCTAACGTCAACACGTTGCCAGGTGCAGCACAAGAAAAGGAAATCAGTTGCGTAACACCCTAAATGGCCTTAAAGTCATTGCTTCACGTTCACCTTTTACCTGATGGTAGCATTTTGTACTTTTTTTAATCCAACAAAAATGTATTTAAAACGTTTGGTATCTAGATTGAAAATACGTTTACACTAATCTTAGTGAGGAAGATAAGCTTTAGACTAGTCACGATACATACAATCATACAGTAGAGGCACGGTACACTACTGAATAATGATTCTTGCAATTTCATGCAGTTTCCGATCCGTTCATGAGTAGGGCACATGTGTCAACCGTATAGTTTGACTGAGGCGAGAACTGTACTTTCTACAACGACTGCCGCGCCATTGTTCAGTTCCCTGCAGGTGTTCCAAACGACCCTGACTCACACGTTATTCTGACGGCCTGACGCGAGAGTTAACATACGGCAGCACGTACGCCGTTCCCCGGGTAACCGTCTGGAGAGTCGGCCATCAAAACGGTTTGTTCTTGCCGCAAATTTGCCAAGGCACAAGTACGGAGCAGGACAAAGTGCACAAAGTGCTACCAGGGTGCCCTAGTTCTCCGTACATCATTGAATTTACAGTCCTGCCATCCGCAGTTTAAAAACTGTGGTTTAGAAGAAATCGGTTTTCCTTTTTCCTGCGAAAATGTCCTAAAATGTATTTTGAAAATTACTACTGCGCCACAGAGGTCAGAGTTGCGATACTTTCTAAAGATTTCGTAAGTTGTTTTCGACTTTACGAAGGCTTTTGACATATGATAAGTCATCGCCATATTTGAGTGACGCACGAAATTGTTATGACGGAATCTTGTTATTGTGAGTCAATCTGAGTGGGAGGATAGAAGACTATGGTTTCTCTCTACACGTTTTGTCTACTTGATTGATGCAATGGATGATTCGAGGAGTGTGTCCTGGTTTGAATTACAAGACAGGTCCGTCATTACAGGGTCTGCATGAGACAACGACTAACCTCACGAGAATAGACAGTGAGTCAGTCAACAAGAATGAGGAACGATACAGATGAAATGGGAAATAAATCAACAGGATGTGGTTTTGTACAACTTTTTGCATGTTTTGTGTGGCAGCACGTCCTCTGATGGAAATGGATTGTGGACATGCACTTTTCCGAGGCAAGTGTTTTGCCCTGACCATGGAAACAATTGTTGCCATTCCACGCTCTAAATTTCTTTTCAATGTGACAAACGACCAGGCAGGGTCGTTTTTCAAAACATGATTGGAAAATTTAAAAGGCTTGTGTTAAATAGGCCACCTGCCAATTAAACCTTTCAATAAGCAACACAGTAAGTGCAGTGACCGTTTAACTAAAATTCACTGCGGTTTGTATCGATTCACACTAAGGACACAGATAGAGACTATTTAACAGCATCCAAACACTCATTTAGGGGTTGAAAATTTTCGTCGAACGGTGTTATTGAGAAAAAAGTAAAGGAGTTTTTTTTTTAATTTTTTTTCTGTTTTCACGTCAAGGTCACCGTCGATGCTACAAGGACATTCCGTGGAATAATCGCCAGCTCCTGGTAACGCGTTAATGTCGCGACCGCGGGTTTTCATGTCGCCAAAGTGGCGGGGATCTGTGCCTATACGTGCAGGCACGGGGGTACTACAAACTAATATAGATATAATCTCTTCATCTACTAGGAGATGTAGGGTTTAGGATTGTTTTTGTTAGCCTTCTTTTGTGGCGTTGCGTATGTCTTTCTATTGGTGTGAGCGTTTCTCACAAGTTCACCTGGTCTAGAAATGTTGAAATGTTCGCGGTGGCTTTATCTTCACTGCGATTTCATGACACCGTAAAAATGTATTACTTCTGACTGTACTACAGAATGATTTTGGACTTTCATTTCTGAATGTTACTACTAAGGTATGAGCCATCTTGCTGTTTTGTTTTTGCGCAGTTTAGTCAGTCTTTCGAGACTGACTGACAGAGAGAGACTACAGAATTGTTTCAGTCACCGTTTCGAACAGCGAAAACCCTTTTTTCACCCCTCTCGCGAAATAAAACCATCGCGAAAGTAATGAACTCACAGTGCCGTTACCTACATGTAAATCGTGCAAAACAACCTATCCCCGCACATCTACTTGGAGATCGGTAATCTCCTGTCTACTCCACTGTCGCACATTCCCCGGAGACTTGGTTCCCGTTGACGTCGCGCCAACAGGTGGCGGGAGATGAACTCGAGAAGCCGCGGCGGCGTTTTGTCCGCAGGACCGCGTGAAACCCTGTCCTACCTGCGGCCCAAATAAACAAAACGGGAGCAACAAAAACGTCGCTCTGGCCTTTTGGGACGTGTTAGGTTTCTTGTGTTGTTTTGTTGAGCGTATGTCGCTAGAGAAGAAAACATACGATCTCTCTTCTAATACTACAACATGCTTAAGATTGGTTTATCAAAACACTTAGTTCATTGGATCCAAAAACGTCAAATTTTACACAAGTAAAGACGCTTTGCATTGTAACTTCAATGCTGTTTGTTCCGTAAAAGTTTTTCTAACCCCCTTTGTCGAATAATGGTATATTCCGAAGCGTTTCATCATCGTTGTCCCTGGCAACGGCGTGGCGGGTTACAGCGAAAGTTGTTGATGTAAACAAACAGGATTCCTCGAGTCTTTCTTCAAGGGACCCTGAGGTTATGTAAACCCACATCGGCTTTTAGAGCGAGTTGTGGCCAGGCGCTGAGAAAACTTTAGACTGTTTAGGTTCCGTTTCCTTGGCCTTTATGATGATATATAATCAGCTAAACAGAGAAAAATCTTTCTGAGTACAAATACTCGATCAGCCCTGGAGCTGAGGCTAACGCGCTTTTGTGATATCCGAAAGCAAAAAATTGCTTCCAAACCGTTGAAAGTTTTAGATTTGGTTGGTAACTACTTTGAGATGTCAAAATGGCCACTTAATTTTTTTCTTTGTCTGAAACGTCTGTAAGTAGTTACGTGCTAGATTCCAGACTCGGAGAGCTAGACGTATATGTATCTTTATGACAGTTGTTATTTAGAGCTGATAAGCTTCAACCGTGTGTCCTAACCCGGACATTCAATTCTCTGACTGGAACAAAAGTTGTTCACCGGTCGTTTACCCGCAATCTTATTTAATTTTCCAGCAATTACAACTAAGAAACAGGCAATTCGAACATGACTCCATATACCATGAGATGGTGTTCAACATCAGAGTCAAACGCGGACGGTTTATCTAAGCCTGACCCTGTCTCTAACCCCTATTAGAGAAGCCAACAAGTGGTCTGTTCAAGTGTAGAGAAAATAGATGCCTAGCAGTCCACTTGGACAAAGTGCATTCCAAGCGACGCCCTATAAATAAGATTCTGTCTTGTCCTTGAAGTCATTGTATCTTCAGTAAAAGATTTTATCCCTGCGATAATTAAATTGATTTTGAATGCCTCTGTCGTTAAAAGATCGCCTCGCAAAATGGCACCAACAGCAGCCAGCCGAAGAAAAGCGGTCAGTGCAAGTTCACGAAAAACGCCACGTAGTCTACTTGGACAATGCCTATTCCAAATCAGATTTTCAAAAGTTTTTGTTATAGTCTCATCGTTACACAATAGGAGCACCGCTCGGTGATAATTGGTTTTATTTGGAATTTTCCTATCGTGGGAACGTCGCTGTGAAAAAATAGCAACAAACCAGCCCTTAATTCACAAAAGAAGGTGGGCGAATAAACGAATTTTCGATTCTAAAAGGCAGCTTACGTTTTCTGGAACCGGTGGCACTCAGGGTACAATAGGAAAAGTACGTAAACACCATTGACAGGCACTACAGGAGAGGAGACAGACACAAGCCGCCCCATTTGTAGAGAAAACTCGTCCACTCCAGACGGTAGACGTAAAAAGAGCTCTCTAAGATGCGCGCTTAGCAATGTAAACTCTTGTTGTACTCAAAGTTGGGTGCTTTTTCGATGGTGACGCTTTTCATCGACAAAGTGCTTTTAAGTAAATAAATGTACATTAGCTTGATATAAATCATCATGCGTTTGTCAGGTTGTTATTGCACCTTTTACTGTGTTATTTGTGTCATTTTACGTCCGTAAATTCTCATCTCTAGCTGGATTTCAGCAATAGTCCTTTTCTGTGGGAAATGTGTTTCTGCTAAATCGATGTTAAGTGGTTGCCCGGCAGTGCAGTACATATCGCAGTACATATCTGTATTCTATCTACTTGTAACTTACATATGGACGTCAGAATGTGTAGTAGCTATATATATATAGGAAGCATTGACAATTTTAAGTAGCCTACTAAATACTCTATTGGCTCAAACACATGAGCCTATTCACAACCTATATATCTTCGTGCAATTCAGCACAAATTACCAATAAAAGGCGATAGGAATCCTTACTCTAATGGAGGATTGGGGAATGGAAGGCAGAATCATACTTTTCCTAGCCACCAACAAACAAATAATCACTTGGCTTACCCTGATGGGGGGATGGGGGATGGGAGGCAGCTTGTCGGGCGAGAGCAGGTCCGTGTTCTCCGCCACGTCGCCCTCGGGCGGAGCTCGGAGAACTTCTTCAGCCAGCGCCTCGCCGCCCAGTCCTGCGGACCGTACAGATCATATATACTGTCATCCACAGAATATTACAGATCCACTGAAGCTGAACACGCAATGTTCTAACGACACACTGTAAAAAGTAACAACTCTAAAACAACTTCCTCAAAGACATTCTCTCGGATTTAATGTTAAAACGTTAAACATTAAATCTCAGCTGGCCTTTTAGTTTGACTACTGTACTATTGACCCAAGAATCCTGTCTATAGTGTCCACTTGCACCTGTCAATGGTGACCATTTTTCAGGCCCCTTGAGTGGTCACTTTATACAGGTTTGTCTCTAGTAAGATCATGCAATCACAGACATCAAGGTAAGAATAAAGAAATAAGGCACCTGAATAAAAAAGAATATCGATAGAAATGTGAACTTATCTCATAACACCTCGTCTAAAGCTCTTTAGGATTTATCTTCTACAATACGTTCTGACTATGGGGTCGGGAAGTCATATCAAAGTGAGTGCTCTTGATACTAGTTTGTGGTGCGTCTTTTCACTCATTTCGTGTCTTTCTGTAGTTGCAGCCCAAACCAACACCTGTGTTTGGAGAGTAGCGGCCAGACCCATGTATTTCCTTATTGCTCCTTCACAGGCGCATTTCCAGCCCGTGTGTTAGTGTTACCCCACCTTAGCGACAAATCTGCCCCCACACAACGCCAAAGCCATCCGCCAGGATATCAGCCTAAGAAACAGGATTACATTCTTCAAGTTCCTGCAACTTAACTCCTTTCCGTAAATACCCGTACTTTTGGCTGTCACGGCGTAATTGATTTTTTTACCCGCGGGGCAAGTGAAACAGTAGCCCGTAAAGAATGGCAACAACACAGCGTACACACAACACCCGTCTTTGGCATTGGGATCTTATGGCGCAGTTGTGTCGCTAGACGGGCCACTTAGACACGTTTTATCACTCATCGCGTCTAAGACACGTACTTAAGACTTCCTTGATCCAGAACATATCCCCGGGGTTAAGAAAGTTTTCTTTAGATATGTGAAAGTTTGTGATAAGTCTTACCTGATAGGAAGGGCAGTTTGACGTCGTCCCCGGCAGGCACCACCGCCTCCCCGACCGCCGGCTCGTCCGGACCGGTCAGGGGAGGGATGTACAGCGCCGGTAAGGTGGCTGTCGGTCCCTCGTCTGCCATGTCAAAGCTGATGCCTCATCCTCCTGAAATCCCTCGGTGAAATCGCGGAGTCTCCTCTCCGCACGAGAGGTAAAAAACCTCCGGTTTGTTGTGTGTGTCCCCCCGTTCTGTCGACCCTCGCAACGCAACGTGCCCCCTCAACCTCCGACCGTACACCTACGCCTAACCCGAGACGCTTGTTTGCACGGGACCAAAGATAGAGTTGCGCCGTTCTGAATAGCCTGCCGCGACCCGCGGCTGACACCCGAGCCTGTATCACTGTATCCTGCGGTATTACATTATACCAAGTCCCTCCTACCATTGGCTAAGTACACCTATCGCAAACACCCAGGCTTTGTCCACCCGCTAAAACCCGAGAACAAAGTCGAAATGCAACCATAGCTTCTTTTGGAAGGAGCTAGTTGCACATTTATAGGGTCCCATTCACAGAGAGAACAAATGCACCCCTATCTAATACCGCTTAATACCGTAAACTAATCAGCACGGCGAGAGAGAATGGAGGAACTGTGTACGCACACACTCACGGTATTTGAGGTACTCCACCTATACCAAGTCGACCCATTTTTTGCGGCATACGAGATGTTGTTTGGTATAACGTGACTCCTGTATACATTTCCGTGCAGTTGTGTGGTACACAGTGAGTGATATATGTAAGGTAGCGGCGAAGTGCAAAGTCTACATATAGGTTAGGTTAAGGCAAGTCTGCCGATTTTTCATCGCACGATTTCTATCGAGGATACGACAAAGCGATAACATTGTCCGTCACAGGATTACGACACATCCACAACTCTCCCAAGATCGTCCCTTTACTGTCATAATAATGAGACACGTCTGGGTGGAGCAATGCTAAAGTGATTTTGCTGTTTTTCTGGAGCGCTAGAGCAATGTGAAGGTCTCCTACAAGCGCAAACGAAATCTACACAAAATGAAGTTTTTTATTGAACTATTTTTGCGAAAAAAGACATGAAGAGTCAATAAAATTAATTAAAGTTATGTGCTTTTTTTTCAAGGCAAATGTACAATTGTACGGATAAATGACAATGTGGGCAAAGTCTGGGACGCCCTAGGTGTTGTGAGCTGAATAACAAAGTACTTGACTGGCCGGGATCTGATAAGAGCAGACTCGGACGAAAGTTTTTTCCGGACATTTCAGTTTAATATTTTCATCGCTCCTGTCAACAAGCGTTACTTCAAAGAGATTTTAAAACCATGATCTGCTGATATATGTTTTTAAACCCCCATCAGTTATTCTGCACCTTACGTAATGTCTAGGTGTGATGTCAGCTTGTTTTTCACGTCTTTTCTCTCGTCTTGTATATTTTTTAAGTGATGTTAGTTGTAGTAAGGGGCTCCAACCCATCCCAAGAACGTATATTATTTAATGAGCGAAGAGACGTTGGGAAAAAAGACAAAATCCACACATTTATGTTTGCCTGGAGATTACATAATCCATACAGACTTTTACAATACCAAGTACCGTTGTGCGGTAGCAAATAAAAGATAGAGCAGCAATTGTTACATTGTTCTCCGATAGCAAATTAAGCTGGTTACAAAAGGAACATTTATAACATAAGGCTTCGAGGTTTGCCGCCAAGAGTAGCAATTCCAAGGCTTCTCTGTTCCCCGCAGGTTATCTTAATTGTATACAAAACATTTAAACAGCCGTGTATCCTTTATCCATTTATTTCACCCAAACACCCAAGACAAATATCAGCCCCACTCTTGGTCTTACACAAACGAGCAGTTACGCAGACGCAAATTTGTCACCCCACAGTTGTTCCGTCCAAGTTTGCCGTACTTTGTGCGGCTGACACTATCGCACGACGTATCAACAGTAGCTGGGGAAACGTGTGACTACAGACCACTTGACCCGCCATCGTTCAAACAGCGGCTTTGTACGCCCGCCACTCGTGACAAACTGCCCGTGTGGAAACCTCGTCTGTTCCTGTCAACTCCCGAGTCGCTCTCGTTCTCGCCTGATGTATCTAAGTTAACGGGCAATCGGGATTAGCAGAATAAATACAAACTGTGGATAATTCGTTTTTAAAAGATTAAAGCGACTGTTTTGAAGTTTGAACTGTCACACACGTTAGGTGACAGGTTTATGACAGTACATTGAGGACGTTCTTGGGACAGCGGTAGTTATGCCGTAGAAAATTCGGCTGTCGTGAAAATTGTAGTCCTAGTGAACTGTCAGTTCCGTCATTGCCTTGAAAATCGTGCGACAAAAACACTTAACGACACATGGGAATATGGCTTAAGCGCAAACAGAACAAGACGTCGACCCAATTTAACAGACGTTAATGTACAGGCCATACGAACAGGTGGATATGAGGTCATGGGTTAAATTTAGCCCTCTCTCCCAGTCTGCTGCTAGGGTACATCTAGCTTTCAGACAAGAGGCAAATAGGCAGGCATAGAAACACTTTATTGCGGAAGTAGAGACGGGTGTGTTGTTCAATAAGGACGTCATACGTTAAGCGCATTCCTCACAAATAAGATTAGATCCTAAAACAATTTTACAGAATCCATTTACTGTCACAATTGCGTGTACGCCATGTAAATGAATCTATGATACAAAGACAATGTTGTCCAAACGGCATGAAAAAATCAGTACAGAATTCTAAGGCATAACGAAAACTGTAATAAACTGGAACATTTTAAGGCCTATCTTGGGTCCTAAAGTCTTGAATAGCAACGTGAATGTAACTAACATCATCGAGCAACATGAATATCAGTAACTAGAAAAATAACTTGGTGATGGCTGGATGCTTCATAAGTATGCAAAGGAACCAAACTTGAACAGCAAGTCATGTGCCAGGTACCTTCTGTGACAAAGGGCCTCTATATGGGCCACTTCATTACAGTTAACAGGTTCTGGAGACAGAAAATGTGAAAATATAATTTAAAACTAGATTTAGCTCAAGTACCTTCCTCTAAACAAGTATAAAATAAATCATAAAACTCTTATTGGTGTGTCAGTTTTAAAAACACACCTGATAAAATAATTCCTGTGGAAACAGAACCCAAACAAATCATTTCTAAGTTTATGAATTATCATAATGATAATGATAGAATCTAAAAAATTTTTTCCCTAACTAAAATTAAGAATGTTTTAAATAATGTATCAAATCTGTTTTCTGAATAGCAAACGTTGACCGTACTTTTTGTAGAGCTAACAGTAACACTAACCAAGACAAAGGGAAATCTGTACTACATGGTGGCAACATTAAATCAACTGAATATATGTAAACATTAGCCAAACAAACACATAACTATCTATTTCCAGAGTTCCATAACTTCCTCTTTCATATACAGTATGAACTCAATACAAAAACCTTTGACTGTAAATTATTTGTAATAATTTGCTGATACATGATATCATCATAAATAATTCAAGTGTATTTAATATAAGAGCTAGCTAGATCTGTCTGTCAAAGGGAAATGGAAGGGCAGATTAATAATTAAATAGTGATGATTAACATTAATAATATTACTATTACTATATTACGTGCATTGTTATATAAAGCAATTTTAGAGGTGTAATAAAGATGAAAATAGACAACTAAGATTTAGGATATATTGCAACATTATTAGCATCAGATAAACATAGGTTTTGCTAGGATTCTATCTACTTGATCCTGAAGTATTCTGTTCTATTTCAATTTTGACACTACCTACATGTGTAATACATATTGGCACTTGGAGGTTACTTCAACTGAGAAGACAACATTCTTCTGTTTAAGGTCTTGAAGATGCTGCTTCTTTTTTAGGTTGCCTAACAGCTTCTGTGTAGAAATAGAAAATACAAGTATTACTAAGCAACAAAACTAACAATAAACTTGATTTAGATAAGTGTGTTTGTCTTGAACCATAAGATGTTAAGAGAGGATTGTAGGTACATGTAGGTCACATGAAGTTGTGTTTTTATCTCTGGTCAGCTAAGACTAAGAGATAGCTCTAGTCACAAACCAAGGACAATTCCAAGCTCTTTAAACTAGTCCCTGCTGAAGTGCCATTTGGTACTATGTCTGTATGGGTTACTGGGTTAGTCAGTAGAGAGAAGGTTAAACATGTAAACATGACCATGTCCCAACTCAAGACACAACTACATTTATAAAGGTCATGACTAGAAGACATGGTTTTGGTCATGAAAAAAAAATAAGCCACATACCAGGCTTCTTCTTGTGAGACATCCTTCTTATGTCTACTTCTTCTTCTTTTCTTTTTCTTCTTAGGTGACGAAGTGGTGACAGATTCATCCTGAAAAAGTGACCAAGAAAATGGCTGGAGTTTGATATACAAAAATGCTACATTGCTTTCAGACTTTGATAATAGTCTTACACACCATTCATCACATTGTGGTTATAGAATCTGCATAAAGTAAACATGAAAGTCAATAAGATTTTCTAACAGCCCAGTGTCTTTCCACATCAGAAATGAAAAAAAAACCTCCCTCCTCCCAAAATGAAATGGTCCAAACCCAAGTTACCTTTGGCACACAATCTGGTGCCATTGTGTCTGACAGTGTAACCCCACCCCCTGTTTCAGGTGTGATGAGACAATAGGACATTGTTAGTACCAGGTGTAACATCAGCGTCTGGAGGAGGTAAGAACTACACGGCTCCCGTATCAGGTCAGAGGTCACAATGGGAGGTCTGGACATGGACTTGGCAAGTGGTCACTAAAAATAGGACCTTATGTTGTTCAAGTCTTATATAACACTGGTCATCACTGCACAATGGTAAAAGGTTTCTCTGATGTCTTACCTCAGGTTCTGCAGAACTGACTGTATCCCCTTCCTTTGGGGCAGGCTTAACTGCAGTACTGGCTTCTGTCTCTGAAGACTGACTCTGAAATTTAAAGGGAACTAGAAAGGTAACAGTTGCAAAGCAAATGCATAATGTTTACCTTCGCATATGGTCTGCTCTGTTAATTCTTACTCAAATACAGTCATATATATGGTCAGAGTTTGGTTAGTGTTTGGAGAAGAAGAAGAGGAAATGTAGCAAAAACAATACATGTATGCTTTCCTTCCGTAAACATAAAAATGTTAATGTAACTTAAATGTACACTAGATTTGTGATGCTCCATCTGCATCCTTCAAAAATGTTGCAGTCCAAACTCTACATATAAATTGCTGGTACAATAGCAATCATTTCAGACTCATTGCAAAGAACAGCATGCTACCTGACCTGTTACCTGTAAGAATAGAATGAGGGGACAAAAATGATACATAACCATTCTTAGAAACTGAAACATACCTGTTCAGATGTTGTTCTTTTCCTTCTCCTCCTTCTCTTCCTCTTTTTCAGACCCCCTTCTGGTTGTGTATCAGCTGTAGTGGCATCAACATCTTCATTCTTCTCCACAGACAGTCTTTGTTTCTTTGCTGGTGTCTCTTCGGTATCCTCTGTTTTTAATGTTTTCTCTTCACCACCTTGCTCTTGCACCAAAGGAGTCTTTCTCTTCTTCTTTTCCGTTTTAGCTGAGCTTGTTCCTTGACCACCAGGACTAGGTTTGTCTGTTGTCTGTTTAGCAGCGCCTCCTGGCAGATTTGCCTTTATTTGCAGTTTGGGTTTCTTGGGAGATGGTTCCACAGGTCCTTGTGGTTCTTGCTCCTCAGGAGTCGCAACCTTCTTGGCCCTTCTCCGTTTCCTCCTTCTCTTTCCTTCCCCAGGTGTGCTTACCTGTCCTTCAGCATTCCCTACCTGTTCCCCATCACCTGCGGGACTTACATTCACCTGTTTCTTGAAGTCTGATGTATCTTCCTTGGACTCTTCAGAAGGTGCTTCTTTGGATTTACTATTATGCCTTTTCCTCTTCCTTTTCTTTGACACTAGAACAGTTGCATCTTGACTTATTTCTTTCTCTCCTGTGTCATTTCTTGACTGAGCTTCTTCAGTTCTACTTAAACCAGGACTGTCTGGCTTAGGACGAACCGGCAGATTTGGAGAAGGCTGATCCTGTGTAGCATGTGACCTTTTCCTTTTGTTTTTCTTACCTGTGGCTGGACTACAAGCCTGGTCCTCTTTTGCCTCAGCTGTTTGTTCAGAAGGTTTTGGCGACTCTGTCAAAGACTGTTCTTGCCTTTGCTGCTCTTTCTCCTTGGTTTGCTGAATGCCTCCCACTTTTCCCTGTGACAACTTGGACGGACTCTGCAAGAGGTTCTCTAAGGTGGGGAACTGTCCTGTCACTGGCTCTGGCACCCTGCAAGATTACACAACAGAAGGGTTAGACTATAAGTTGTATTTCTATAATGTTCTTAAGATTCACATGGAAAATCAACCCATAATGTAGGAACTATTCCAAGATAATAAATGCAACATAATGATTCTGACTAAAGCTGAGCTATTGCAATGGAACAGTACATTTTCTCAATCTGCACTAACTGAACAAAATTACGGCATGAAACCTTGAAACAATTAATTATCCTAGATTATGCCATTTATCACACAATTCATATTTTGTAGTAAGACCTGGACTTACTCTTGTGTTCCAGCTGCTTGTTGCTCCTTCTTCTGTCTCTTCTTCATCCTCCTGACCTGATTCCTGGACAGCTTCTGCTGTCCCCCCTGCTGCTGACCGTCAGGCTGTTTCCTCTGGGACTGAGACAGGGACGTCAGCTTACTGTCCTCGTCTTTACTATCATTGCTGTCTGCTGAAGGGACTTTATTTCCTGGAAAAAATACATGACAGTTACTACTAGAATACTCCAGTGTGAGATCAAACCAGTCTAACGTATGTTCTACATAGCATGAAGGTTCATCTGTGTTGGTACAAGTCATTATGAAGTAAATACTTAGAACTTCTCCCCACCTTTCTTTTCCTGCTGATGCACCTGTTGTCTTTTCTTCAGCTTGGGAAGAATCTTCCCCTCCACCAGGCTGCCTATCTTGGTTGCCATGGGAACAGTCTGCTTCTTCTTCTGCTTTAAGGAGGGCTTCTCACCACTGGTACTGATGAAACAGATGAAATGAAACATCTAGTGACTATGGCTCTTAACAAGTTGCTACAAGATGGTAAATGTAACCTCCATCTTTCCGATCTGCAATTCTCTCAGTCAAAACGGGAGCAAGAAAACATTACGATATTCATTATTCAACAACATTCTTTCGGCTACACGATTATTAAGTTATCTGGCTATAGGTACTGGAATTCTTTAAGCGCTAAAATATTAAGTTACTTTATGAGGTTTTGTATGGGGATTAAAATTCTTGAAATTCAATTAGCATTAGTTTGTAATTCCTATATAAAGTCTTTGATAATAATGGTAAGCGGATTGCGCAATACATATAACATTACATGTGTAACGTTACATTGTACTAGTTCTTTATAAAGATTTGTTACTCAAGCAAGCGACTCGAGCTCCAACTTTCCAACTCGCACTTGTAAATCTAATTTAACTAGCAAAACACACATATATCTGGAACAAAGTCTCCTCAATTCATTGTTGTTGTTGTTGTTGTTGTCCTTGTTTAACGTCTAATATATCGCTAGACATGGTCACTTGGTGCTCGTTGTCACGTGGTTCAGTTCAGAGTCAAAAAGTCTCTCTAGGTATTTAACTCTTGGTGCCTTGTGCTTGAGTGAAGCTTGAAGTGTCTTTATGAGAGCACATCGAAGCGGTGTGTACTCTCAATGTACCGGGAGAGAGCCAGGTGCATCTGGTTGTTCGCTGCTTCAGGAAGGCCTTCTCTCATTCCGGCTAGGGTGACGATATCCGTGTCCCTGTTTTCTTCTGCTGTGTTGTATGTCTCGTGTATGCTGTCAGCTTCTAGCAGCATGTGATGTCTTTCGTTGTCGTAGCGAGGGCAGTGGTACAGGTAGTGGTTGGTGGTCTCCAGAGCGTCGCAGTTCGGGCAGTGTGGTGGAACCTCAGGGTTTTTCCAGTTCTGGTATGCATTAAGTCTGGTATGACCGCTCACTAGCTGATTTATGATGATTTGTGTGGTTCTTCTTCCGAGTGTTCTGCCCTTCTTCTTCATGTGTGTGCCGATTTTTTGCATGTGTTCGCTTCGTGTGTTCAGATTTGATCTTCTGTTCCATCTCTCCTTAGCTTGTGATTCTATGTGTTTCAGAGCTTGTTGTTTTGTCCAGGATGTGTTGTTACTGTTGTTCCTTGCTTCGTTGGCTGCCAGTTTTGCTTCCTTGTCTGCGATCTCATTTCCGGTTACTCCCACGTGTCCTGGGCACCAATTCAACACTAGAAAAACTCGTGTACGTGTACGCACATGGACATCACGCACATCACGCCCCCCCCAAAAAAAAAAAACAGTCTCCACACCCACTCCCCTACCTCTCAGACTGCCTTCCGTTCTTCCCGACGTCTCCTTTTCTTTCCCCCGCATCGATCACTTTGGTTTTTGGTTGTTCCTTTTGGAATAAGTCGGGAAACCAGCTTTCTACAACACGTTTGTAACTGTGGTCCACTTGCAAACTTCCAACTTCCGCCATTTTGGACCAGAAAATGCACTGGGCGAGTCTATAGTTTAGAGGGGATTTTTGCATCAAAGTTAGATGAATAAGTTGCCTCTTGACGATGAATCTTACAAATAAAGTTCTAAAATCAAAGTATATTCATATTTTAAATAAATATCACTACATAAATTGAGTTATGATTTGTGAATAAAATGAAATATAATTTCTGAAAACCATTGTTGTCCCTTCTTTCCCAATGCCATATTCCACCCGGAAGTTGTTTTTCGTAGGTCAGCTGTCTGTAGGTTGGGATTTGCAGGTATAGCTCGAGGCGAGGTGGGCGGACCTTCCTTTCATAGGTACCAGACATGGCAGCGGCAGAGGACAATGAAATGAGCGTAGTGGCAGACGACATGGAGCCAAGCTTTACCAAGTGCCTGGTGGTGAGCTTAGAGGTTGTGCGGTTTTGTAGGTAACCGTGACTTGTGCCGTCCGGTGAACCCAGGGCGCCGGGCCTGGGGAACCGGTAGAACCGCCTTTCGGCTAACGCACCCCCTTCAGCCAGGAACACGTGCTGGCACCTCTGTTAGGAGCAAAAGGGCGGTTATTCGGCCGATTATCCAATATAGACCTACAGACGTATTTAAAGTTTTGAATGTACTAATTTATGATTCGGTTAGGAAGTATTATCAACTTATAATCAAGTAGACGTAGATGACATTTATCAAATTTTATGAAATGCCCAAAGTGTCTTTTGATTACATCCATAACGTGAATGTTCCGATACTCGCATGTTCCACAACCCTAATTACCTTAACCCTAATCCACCATTATATTTGAAAACTAGTGTTGTCGCATAGGTGTGTCGGAACATACTAGTAGTACTGTCCCCGTATCCACTTATGGGGTTGGGAATTTTAACCTGCCACATCTGGATTTCCATCCATTGTGCAAAAAGCTGGCACGAAAATACAGACACAAAGTACAACTTATGTATTAAGGATCTATACACACATATTATTCCAGGCAGGAGGTATGGCAGGAACAGCCGTGGACGTGACTCTGTTCCCCCTGGACACGCTGAAGACCCGGCTGCAGAGTGAAGCCGGCTTCTGGAAGTCTGGAGGCTTCAGGGGGATCTACTCTGGCCTGGGGTCAGCAGCAGTCGGCTCTGCACCGGGAGGTAGGGGGTCTTGTACATACTCATCTTCATCAGGTGTATGATGGCAGGTGGTCTTTTCTTTGTGGTAGTGGCAGTTTTAATGCTCGAACTTGAAGTTTGAAAGTTTGAACGTGAAGAGAAAGTTTGTTAAAACAGACGAAGTTTACATCCTTGGGAAAATAGGAAATGTGCAGAAAGACTTTTGAAATCAATTTAGATTGTTCCATTACAGAAGAAATTTTTAGGTTAACGGGGGGTAATAAACAATGATAGCAGTGCTGTGACAAAGAATTAGATTGCTTTTGTCTTGTCCCAGAATTAACAATGTCACCCCTGTTACTTCATCCCACCAGCTGCCGTCTTTTTCGTCACTTACGAGTTTGTGAAAAGCCTGACAGGATCCCTCCTCCCAGAATCCCTTGCACCTGTCAGTCACATGATTGGAGCTTCTGCGGGAGAAGTTGTGAGTATGAAACATCTGCCAGCTGCCAGGTCTTGAGCTGGCCTTACAGCTGATCCTTGCTATACTGAGATTTAAAGCACAGTCAAGTTTCACAATGTTGTATGAGTCACCAGCATACTACATGTTTAACACACCACAATTTAGCTGCAAGATCAACTTTCTCCTTGATAAACTGTTAAACCAAAGTTAAACAGAGAAATCTCCTTAGTTTGCCAATATGTCATTGATGTTGTTTTCCTTCCCTTGTTTGTTACAGGGAGCCTGTATTGTGAGAGTACCAGTAGAAGTGGTGAAACAGAGAGCTCAGGCCAACCCTGGACATTCCAGCTACAGTGTGCTGAGGAGAACAGTCACACAGGAGGTAAGGACAGCCTGCACAAACATGCACTATCCAGGGCTATAGGAAGTACCTGCTGATCAGTGGGAGGGTTGCTAGCTATAGAATAGAGTTATTTAGTCAAACTAACTTTGGCTGTAGCTCGTGGCTTCATATTAGCCTGGTATTCAAACCTATTATGGCTGCTAGGTCTATTTTGTTCTCTATCTAAATTTTTTCTGTTGCAGGGATTCAGAGGACTCTACAGAGGCTATCTCAGCACAGTTATCAGAGAGGTATGTTATAAAACTGTCATGTATATTTTTATGCAGACACAGCTACTCTTACAAGGACCACATATATATATTAACTGGATATTATTACAGGGGAAAAATGAAATGCTTTCTGTCCGTAAGACAACATGGAAAAAAGGCTGTGAAAACATTAACCTTAATTTTATCCCTTTCAGATTCCATTTTCTTTTGTGCAGTTCCCCATCTGGGAGTTTCTTAAAGTAAGTACATTGTATCTTTTACTGGACTACTACTAATTTTGGCAGTATTGAAAGTTAAGTTAGCTATGACTTGGAAAAACTGTGAGAATTCAATGGTTTGTTTCACAGCTGGACTATCATCATAGCATGGTTAAAGCCTCATTGTAGCTTGCCTGGCACCAAAAGTGGACTTTGAATGGTTGACGACCATGTAAAAGGTACAATATAATGCCAGTGATTGTGGTGTGATGTTAAACTTTTTAAAGATGATAATTCATTCACCATTTCCCCCAGAAATCGTGGTCCAACAGACAAGGCAAACTGGTGGATCCCTGGCAGGGAGCAGTGTGTGGGGCAATATCAGGTGAAGACATCTTACTTCATACATGTAATATCATGAAGTGGGGGCAACAAAGCTTATTTTTGAATCCCTAATCCTGTAATGTGCGTACATTTTACAAGTGAGGGGGATTGACCATTTCATCCTTAATTCTGAAACAGCTGTCACATACCTGTAAATAAAGGCAACCTGAGCATGTTTTATTTCAGTCCTCCTCATCTCATCTTCTTCCTCCCAGGAGGATTTTCAGCTGCAGTAACCACACCACTGGACGTAGCTAAAACCAGAATCATGCTGGCAGAGGTAAGGATTTTTTTATGTTTTTTATACTTTTTTATGGCTGTTACATTTGCCTGCCCTCAATTTTCAGCACTCTAAATAGTAGATGTTTGAGTGCTTTTCCTTGTAATGCAAAATGATTTGTGATTTGACTTTTTTTCAGGCTGGGACAGAAACTGCAAGAGGAAGCATTCCCTCAGTGTTAAAAACGATATGGAGGACTGATGGTATGAGGGGGTAAGTGTGGTTTAAAGATGCAAGAACAGAATATCTAAGTGAAAAGTTTCAACCTTACACAGAGTTTCAGGAGTGAATATTAGTCAGATTCAAGATTTCCAACAAGTGATCTGTTTTCATCTTACTGGATTTTATACTTATACCTGAAATTTAAGGAGCTGTGGCCTAATAAATGTTGTTTTCTGTCTGTTTTCCACAGGTTATTTGCAGGTGTGGGCCCCCGTACCCTGTGGATCAGTCTGGGAGGGTTCATTTTCCTGGGGGTGTACGACAAGTCTAAAGCTGTGATGTCAAACTTCTCCAAGGACATTATGACATAGCTGATAGTGTGTTTCCATGCAGATGACTTCTCAGCCGTCAACTATGCTGCTTTCTCAACAACAGGCAGCTCAGTCCTTACAGCAAAGGTTACTGTATATCTACAGTACACAGGAGCCTTCTTTCATAAAGTTTCTTTCATAAGGCCACACCAAGTAAATTTTATGGATGACGTCCTTTGGAGACCCTAAATCTAATGCGAGAGGGCGAAAAAAAAACAAGAAGGGCCCTAAAAAACAAGATTCCTAGATTAGAAATATACTAAGAGAGGACAAATGTTAGGACACAAATTGAATAAGGTGACACAGTGTAACAAGCAAGAAGTCTTTTATTCATCATCAAAACAGCAATAAATCAGGTGGAACAGCAGTTATCGTCCTGTCCTGTTTTCGCGTTACGGGTTTCACGTCAATCTGACGATTTGCGGCACTGTCATGACTCTTTGGTCATAGTTACAGGAAGCAGAATTTCTTTTTTTTTTTTCTAGGAACAGGCCAAAATCAATGCGCGCGCGGACGTCATCCATAAAATTAACTTGGTGTGGCCTAAAGAAGCTAAAAATGAGATATTGTAGTTTGTGTTAGGTCTGATCATTAGACCTTTTTATGGTGAGAATTCATCTTAAACTTCTCCCTGCTGTCTGATCCCACAAACAATAAAATTTTGTGTCAACAGGCTATCTGAACAGGGAGACAGATAAATGTTCATATGCTGGTGGACAATCATGTTTTATTGTAAGACTTAATGGGTGTTTTGCACAGTATATCAAAGACTTAAAAGTTGTATTCTTTCAACTTGAACCACTTCAGCACATGATTTTTGGGATTTTACTATGCAATGTTTATCTTTACCAGTATTATAACATTATATAAATCAGTGAATCATTCCAAGGATTCACAAATATTAGTGTTTGAATATTCCTGTTGGTGTATAGGTCGCATTATTTTGCTTATTTGTTGCATCTTGGCTAAGGTAACAAAATTCTGAATGTGTTTAAGGATTGTATGTACATGTATTTACTGGCAATATGGGTTGAAGAAATAAATGTGGGGATTTGGTGTATTGTTGTTTAGTGTTGATATTATGGCATGAGTTGAAGCAGGATTTTACAAGAGCCAGTGGGATAGCTGAGATCGATTTAGACTGATTGAAAGAATGATACTTTTATTTGTAACTGGTGCATGTCTCAGTACATATTTTTATATAAAACATAGTACAAATGGTCATGAGATGGACGGCTCAAACGGTTGGTGCAAATTGCAACTTGACAAAGTAGGTTCTGTTTCTGTCAGCGATCATTGTTGGCTGTTTGGAAAACAAGATCAGGACAACAATAATAGAGGCATGATAGAAGGTGTGATAGATACTAATACCTGATCTAAAGCAATTGACTTGAAGGAGCAAGAACACAACACAGCCTCTGAACTATTCACTGTTTGCCCCTATTGCATATTGAGTGAAGGGTACAGCATGTATATAGTATCACTTACTAAAGTAAGCCGTGGAGAATAAAAAATATTTCCATCAAACACACATTTAATAAATCTGTGCACAGACATTATAATCAAATATTTGTTCTGCCATTTTGAGACTAAAGATTTGTTCCAAGTCTAAAGCCGACAATTGCACAGAACAATGCCCCAATCACACATTTCTACATACTTTTCCATGGTCCCGTGCCCACACACTACAAGCTGTCTCAACAGGCCTCATGCAAGCTAAACTTCAGCGAGCAGGTCTTTATCCCAACTTTACGTTATGGCTATTATAAAAAAGAAGTCAAGCCCAGTAGATTTTTACTAGTAGTTTCTTAAAAGTTATCAGTAGTTCTAAGTGTAAAAATTATCTGTTTTTATACAAATGTTTCTTCTGTTCATGCAATTAGCCCTCGGGCATGAATTTGCAATTATAAAACTTTCTTCATTATATAACTGCAATGTACAAATGTGATCATGCCAAAGACACCATTGAATATTACTCACTGTACACTATTACGTAAACAAGGAATCAAAACATATGACATATTTCGGACACATTTCGAAGATACATGTACTAGTATTCAACCCCTCATTGATTGAATCTTCATCTTGAGTCACCACAAACAAGTCACAGGGCCATGCTTGCCCTTTCCTCGATATTCGCATGGGTTAATTTTCATATTAGTCTGTTATATAGATATAGTCATAATGTTTGATTTTATGTAAAGATAGTAGATTGGATGAACCATTGGCTGATAGCTTGACAAACAATCGTTATTTTAAGTATAGTGGCACGGTTCAATCAAACCCTAAAACATTGATCAGCTAGGGCTTAACCACCATTACTGCCGCTGCTCCTACACACAATGGTATATGTTCTCAGGGTTTAGTTACAGTTTTCACCTCTGCACAGTAGATACCAAAGACTAACCCTGATCCTCTTTCAATAATCTCCTCAACAAGAACGACAACAATTGTAGTAGCACAGTGTGCTCATCCCCATCCTCTTTCAATAATCTCCTCAACACGAACGACAACACTAGTAGCACAGTGTGCTCATCCCCATCCTCTTTCAATAATCTCCTCAACAAGAACGACAACAATTGTAGTAGTACAGTGTGCTCATCCCCATCCTCTTTCAATAATCTCCTCAACACGAACGACAACAATTGTAGTAGCACAGTGTGCTCATCCTCTTCTGATTTGACATCTATTTTGGGATAACACGTCCCTATTTGACCGTTCTCATTGTTGACGACAATGGTGGCTTCCTTCTTCCCTAAGGTGACTTCTGTGCTGTCCCCGTCCCCAGCTAGGAAGCAGACGGTGTAGATGGCCAGCTCAAACTCCGGGCTCGTGCCGAGGAAGAAGCTGCCAAAGCTCTTCTTCTTGCCGTTCCAACTGAAGTCTATGGTGATGATGTGGTCGTCACAGGCCTGGGGCTGAATGGGTGCGACAGACCATTATAAAATGAGGAATTCTACTTTTGAGGTAGATTGGGAAATGCTGTGTACTTCATGTGTACGGCAATTTGAGCGATGTAAGATTAGTACTAGTAGATGTAACATGAATGGAATTAAGAAAATGTAACACCAGGCTCTAGGCAGCAAAACACATACCGGCATTTTCATTTTTCTTACAGAGGGAAAGGTGCACAGTCATATAATGGAAGGAAAGGAAAATAAAGGAGAGGAAAGGAATTCAGAAAAGGAAGTAAAGGAAAAGAAGTAAGGAAAGGAAAAAGGTACTAACCCTGTAGCTTTTGTAGATAATGTTCCCCTTACGCTCCTCCTCATACAGCTGGACCCAGTTGTGGAAGCCCAGGACCTGTCGGTGACATGTCTCTCCCACGAAGATGTGTTCAAAGGCAGACCTACAGTGCAACAGATGAATTTTATCTGACGAAAAGGCATCAGTTCTATTACAGATCATCCCGCTACAAGGACTCCGGTACCCTGATAACAAAAAACAACGGGATCGAGTGAAGAGGCAGATAGCTCACCGTTCAGTGCCGTCTCCGCTCGGCCTGGGGTGAAGCTCAAACCACAGATCGTACAGCTTCTCCTTGAAGGCTTTTCTGTAGTTTCTGGGCACCAGTCCTGTGGAGAAGTGCAGCAAGGGAAACAGCGAAGGGCATATCATGGTTCATGCAACTTGAAAAACGGTTGTGTGGACAATGGACATTGTGTGTTATCAAATGTAGCATTACTATAATTAGATTTCCCTAGGATTCTTTTGCTCTTTACACATCTCTGAAAAAGAAAACAAAGTTTATACAGCATACCTTTTCTTAACAAGAAGGAGTGTGCCTCTTTCATGACGTCAGTGTCCAGACACCGACTGAGGAATGCCCGGCTCAGTTTCTGCTGTCTCTCCGTTTCCACCTCGGGTTCAGATATTTCAGCCTCGTAGTGGTCTAGCAGCTTCATAAAGTCTGAAGTGAGTAGTATAGCATGGACAGTTAGGGTATCACATTCCAGATTCCGCCACATTCATCCGCCACACTCCACACGCCACAGTGATACACAAACTGCCCATGGAAGGCATTAGAGGACATCGACAATAATGCGCATTACTACTAGTTACATTTCACTGACCGGGTGTGCTTGTCCGATTTGATGCAGCGAAGAATAAGAAACAATGATCGATCGTTTCACTTAAAACTAGACTCACGTCACTTCTTCCCCAGCACAAGAGCTACCTACAATCCAAATTTCGTGAGCCCGGCATGTTTAGATCTCGAGATATAAAAACCGGACGTTCAGCTGCAGTAACACAACGAGCCGCCAGGTGGCCCAAAATCTAATCATTTTGTACGATCTACCCACCTACCAAATATCAAGGTAATCCATTTAAGCCTTCTCAGATTATCGTGTTTACAGACGGACACACACGCACACACACACACACACACACACACACACACACACACACACACACACACACACACACACACACACACACACACACACACACACACACACACACACACACACACACACACACACACACACACACACCGATGCTTACCACTATATGTTGGTATGTCTTCCAGCTTTTCCCTTTTCACGAAGGAAAACAATTTGTCACCCTGCAATGACAGTGCAATGTTTAATGTGGCAAATCATCAAATTGTTATCAATAAACAGCACAGATTTGTGCGTACTAGTCACATATGTGTTATGTGCAGTAAATGCCACTCACTGTACTCTGAACGTATGAAAGCCGGAACACTGCCGTAACCAAGAAGATATGTCAAGAACTGAAGAAGAGAACAGAACCCTGACTCGGAGCCTTGGACAGAACAAACAGACTATAAAACAAGCTAGATACGTTACTAAGTTGCAGCTATAAATTTTCCGGACGGTGGTAAGTTATGCATCGATCTCAAATCGTAAATCATGGCATGCAACGGAAAAACAAACACCTGGCATCTTATTGCGACAACGCCATGCTATTTAGTATTGGCTCGGCCTTGCGGGTTGCGTAACACAGTAACGTTACATTGTTTGCATTCGTGGCGCTATTGTGTCCCCTGACAAGCAACCTTTAAACCTTGGGGTAAATTTTTGTGTGAACACAAAACAAAAGGTACCCGTAGTCCTGCAATGGCCCCTTTCAACAGTGTCTATAATGCCTCTGCTTTCGATGCTAGATACAT